CTTCTCATAGCAGTCGCACAATGCACCTTTCACAGTGGACAAAGGTCCCATCTGTGAGTTTCATCACTTGACAATCACCATGCTAGTGGGGCTTTGATTTTCATCGCCCTGCTGACCGTAATGCTAAGCACCTTTTCGGTCTGTTAGCCATTTTGTGTCTGCTTTGGAGAAAGCCCTATTCGACTCTTTACCCATATTTTCAATCACTCATTTTTCTGGTTGAATTGTTTGAATTCCCCATGTATTTTGGGTATTAACCTCTAATTAGAAGTGAAGTTTGCAAATATTTTCTCCTATTCTGTATGCTTCCTCTTCATTTTGCTGTTGTATCCTTTGCTTTGAAGATTTTTAGTTTGATGTAGTTCCACTTTTCTATTTTGTCTTTTGTTCTTTAAAAAATCACTGCCAAGACCACAGTATTTCTATTTTATTCCGAGTGGTTTCTATTGAAACATCGATTTGCCAATCTTTTCTTCTGCAATGTCCAGTCTGCTGTTCATTGTATACAGTGTATTATGACAACCTCAGATAGTGTAGCTTTCATGCCCAAATCTCATTTTGGGTCTTTTTCATCTCACCAATGTCTAACTTTTCCAACATACGGAATAATGACTTTTACCATTTCTGCCTGCTTGTTCTAAAATCTGTGCTGGAACCCTAGCTATGTTTCCATTGATTTTTCTCCCTATTATGGGCCATCTTTTCCAACTTCCTCACATTTTTAGGATCTTTAAAAATTTTATGCCATACAGTATGAATTTTACCTCTATCAAATGCCACGTGTTTTTGTTGTTGTTGTTATTGATCTTCCTGCAAACACACAAAGCTTTGTTCTGGGACACAGTTCAGTTGCTTGGATCTTTGGTTGCTGGATCTTTTCCGATCTTGCTCTCCAACTTTCTCAGGTAGGATCAGAACACTCGGTCGTGCTCTAAGGAGCCCCCACTGTACTGGGGATTGAACCCAGGGCTTTCAGACTGAGCTACCTCTGCAGCTCCTTCTTATTTTTCATTCTGAGACAAGGTCTCACTAAATCACCAAGTTGTCTGGATTAGGCTTAAATTTGTGACCCTCCTGCCTCAGCCTCCCAGGGAGCTGGGATTGCAGGTGTGCACTCACATGCCCGGCTCGGGAGGGGCCTCACAGAGCCCCTGAGCTTCGCTGCTCTTTGTCCCATGAACTGCAGCTGCGCTGCTCCCTCAGACTCCTGGCCCCAAATCCAGCTCTTGGGGAGCCCCGGGGCTCAGCCCAACTCCTTCTCCTGGGCCACAGCCTGCAACTGCTCAGGGCGGTAAAGCCACACCTGCCAGCTTGCCTGCTTGTCTCCCTCCTTGCCTGGTGTCTTGGGTCGTGAAAGCCAGTGCTTCCTGTATTTTGTTTATTCATTGATTGTTTTAGGCTAGAAGGTATATCTGGTCCCCATTTCTCTGTCTTGGCTGGAAACAGAACTTCCTTGTAATTTGATTTTAATTCATGTAAAGTTAAGCAGCCCTGTGTCCAGAGCTGGTGAAGTGGACAGAGCCGTTAACAGCCGCTGCGAGTATGAATGTAAACTTTTTAAACTGATGCAACCTGCACAGCCACCATGCTGTACGTGGGGGCGGATGGAACGCCCTGCACTCAGACTCCTAGGAGCCGGGCACCAAGCACACTGAGCTGAGCTGTCTGAGCTGCTGCGGGCCCTGTCTTCAAAGCCAGGTCATTCCATTTTCCTGAGCTGGAGTAGCAGATGCAAAAGTTTAGATGTTGCTCTGATGACTGTAAAGATGAAGAAACAAAAGCTGAGTTACTCGAGCTGGTCATTCCAGAGGCCACTGGGGTTTGTTTCTAAAATATAAAAACGTAAAACTGCAGACTGAGAGGTGCCATACTTACTTGGCTGAGTTAAACCACAGTTCACATGGGAATCAATTTACCAAATTGGAATAACATCTTTAAAATAAAAACTTTGCTGTTCTTTTCTATTAATGTTTTTAATTATTGTTAAACTGCAATATCATCATTCGTCACTGTAACAGACCTATATGCAGGTATAACTTTACCCTTTTCCATTGTTAGTGTAACTTAATATATTAATCTTTTTTCTTATTTGCATTGTAGTGTGTATTTAACTTTTTAAATGTTTACAGCATGATCATACATGTGAATTTTAAAAAAAGAAAAATGTTTACTATTTCACTTCCTACAGCTACTTATTCCTTGGGTTTCAGGATTTTTACTGAAAATAGTTTCGTGGAAGCAAAACAGTTATGGAAAAGCATTTAAAAAGTATCTATGCCCTGTGGACTAGGCTTGGTTTTTGTTAACAATGTTCTACAATTCATATTCCCCCCAAAAAATGCTCATTTCCTTGATATGTTTGCACAAAATCTTCTTCCAAAAAATAAGAAAAACAGCTAGACATGGTGGTGCTCACCTATAATCCTAGCTCTGGGAGGCTGAAGCAGGAAGGGCTCAAGTTCGAGCCCAGACTGGGCTACTTTGTGACTCAGTGAGGCCCTGTCTCAAAATTTAAAATAAAATTAATAAAGGGCTGGGGATATTGCTTAGTGTGAAGTTCTTGGATTAAATTCCCAGTACAAGAAAAAGAAAGAAAAAATAAAAAGAAGAAAGAAGGAATCTAACTACACCAAAAAGATTATGGCTAGCATATGGAGAAATAAATAAAAATTTCTCTTAAAATTCATGCATATTAAAAGATTTTCAACATCATTCATAAGGGAAAATGCAAATGAAAGTATACTCCAATGGGAGTTTTACACATCAAATTGCCAAAAATTAAAGAACCTTAACTAGGTTGCACTGTGCAGTTCCCGGTGTGGGAACTGCGGGCGCTCTATGGGGGATGAGGGTGGGGGTTAGAGCGCCCTCTGCAGAGGAAAATGAGGCTCTTTCTTCCTCTAATAAAACCGCTCATTCCCTGGGTTCAGTAATTCCACTTCCGGGAAAATCTGAAAATACACTTAGCACGTGTGGGAGATGATACATACTATGTAGAGAATTCAGCATAAAATTATTTGTAATAGTATGGAAACAATCTAATTCCCTTTGGGGGCTCGGTGTGGGGTCCTTAGTTACAAATTTCCCTGGTTTTGGGGGAGCAGAGAGAGAAATAGGGGCTCACGTGTACATTGTCGGACCCTGGAAACCACTTGGAGCTAGTTGGTAAGTGGTTGCTTCCGAGTGGGCCGAGTGGGCCGGGGGCGCTTGAGTGGGGATGGAACTTCTCCAGGAACTTTTTGAATCTGTTGAAACTTTTCTCTGCTTCCTGTATTATAAAAATCAATGACAGATAAAGAAAACAAAATTTCAGACATCTCGCATTCATTATGAAAAGAAACAAGATCAAGAAACTAGGCCAATTTTTTTTTTTTTAATCTGTGATGCAAAAATGATAGTCGATCCCCAAACAGCATCCCCGGTGTTTCAGAAAGTCCCGAAATGGGTGGCGACCCCACTGCCTACACCACACGGCCGCTTCCCACGGTTTCTCTCAACACCCTGAGCCTGGGAAGGAGCAAGATTGATTTTAAAAACCAATAAAGAAAAAACTTTATCGAGTTCTCATGTGAATTGGAACAACTTATCATGAGGTATTAGGTAGACATTCATTCCCTATTTTTAAATCCTTTAAATTTTTATTAGCAACTGTCTGCAGCGCATGACGCTGTCATTCGTCGTGGGGAATTGGTACACGCACGGGACACTTGCGTATTTTGGGTCCATTCCGTTCCCTTCTCCCCCCGCATCTCTTGATTCCCTTCCCGGTCTCTTACTATTCATTTTGTTCTGAAGAGAGCAGTCGCTGGTCAATGAGCTGAGGGGTGTCTGGGGCAGGGCTCTGGGTCACACGCGGAGCTGCTCCAGGTCCAAGGAGGCGAAATTACCAGTGAGCACCTGACGGGGAGGGGCCGAGGCCAGCCAGACCTGCAGCTCTTCCCCAAGTGGGCTCTGCAGGGCTCCGAGTCGCCTCCGCCATTTGGAAGGACGGCTCCACGCTGGGGGCTTTGAGTTTTCCACCTCGCACCAGTCGGAGGGGCGCTGTAATCGGGGGGCGGGGGG